TCCTCAGATAATATAATAAGTTCTGAAATACGGAGTTTAGGAATTATAAAAAAATCAGTTTTTAAATATGATTCTAAAATGGAGAGTTCTTAGTTTCAATTTGATTTGATTAGTTTACTTTGTAAAGATTTTTCGATGCGTTAAATTATACCTATTTAAGTAAGAAAGTGTTTGATTGAAACGTTTGGGTATTCTTTTTTACTGTAAAATAGCGTTCTACTCCGACGGATTACGATTTTCATTTGTAATCTGTCTTTAAAAACTTATTTAGCGATCCCTAAACTACTCGGATGACATAGCATTAGAATCCATTAAAAATATATGACACCGAATTTTATCCGGAAATGGGACAATGGTGTTTTCAAACAGGCAATAGAAGATTAAGAAATATGTCTAAACACCTTTTGTAGATCGTTCCTGGCTTAAAATATATTTCCAAAAGTTTTTCTTAAATTACTGCATTACAATTCTGTTTCGGTTATTGTACAATTATTGTTAACAATTCAAAAAAGGGAAACACTGTAGTAGCTTTAACGCTGATGACGATTTATTTAACTTTAGTCGTTTCTGCACCGATTTATTATTACTATTACTACTAAGGGTAGTGATAATATCATTATTTAATGCATCAGTTTGCGATAGAGGCGTGTGCCTACGATCGGCGAAGTTTTAACATAACAAAAAACTGGCCGGCACATTAAAAACACTGGAAGGGTAGAAAATCGGTACAACATGCGATAATCCTTTGATAATCAAGTGTGCGTGGCCAATCGATCATTTTTTATTTTCGGGTAAAATTGACGTATCATTGCTGGTGAACGAAAACTTTTTTAATAATAAAGCGACCAGGGGATATATTTTTGTACATGGGGGTCTTGCTTGATACTGACTGAACAACCGGTCCGATAACAAGATTAAAAAAGAAATACTGCATTTTAAGTGGGCGAAGCAGAGGTGTGCCTAAGCTGGGGGTTAGGCTAGGATAGATGTATACATTGCAGACAAAGTTTTACTAGGCACACTGATTGCAAGGATGAGTATTGGGTACAAGCATCATCATCATAAGGTCGTCATTCCTAAGACTGGTTGGACATGTACCTCCACTCTTTCCTATCCTGAGCTAAACTTCGCATTTCCCTAAAACTAGAACAACCCACATCCTTAACTATTTGTGAACAGTAATCTAATCTAGGTCTACCTATACCCCTCCTCACTCCTGTTTCTGCCTCTAATATGTCTCTGACAAGACCTTCATGCCTGAGAAGGTGTCCTACCAACCTATCTCGCCTATTTTTTATTGACTTCCATAGAGTTCTCTGTTCTCCTATTCTTTCTAATACCTCTTCATTTCTAACCTTTTCTACCCACGTTATCCTCATCATTGACCTATAACACCACATTTCGAAGGCTTCTAACCTTTTTCTTTTCCGCCGCGCCCACTGTCCATGTTTCTCACCCGTACAACACCGCGGTCCAAACATACACCTTTAACAACCTATTTCGAATTTCTAAATTAACCGTTCACGAGCATAGAAGTGACTTCTTTTTATTAAAGGCGACACGACCCTGCGCTATCCTCTGCTTTATATCCTTACTACTCCTTCCTTCTTGACTAATCTGACTTCCTAGATATCTAAAATCAGCCACTTCTTCTAATTTTTCGTCTCCTATCTTTATATTCGCTTTTTCCCTACTCTTTCTTCCCTTGCATACCAGTATATTAGTTTTACTTGCTTCCATTTTATTTAAAGATATCTCTAGGTCGTCCTTGCTAGATGCTAATACTAGGTACAATATGGAAAGGATTTTTGTAAAGTATAATTCCATTTGATCATTCGTTAAAAATGTATTTTCATTAATGATTTTTTCCTGTTTTTACTGAAAACGCCTAATTCAAAAGTTTGTAGCTGCTGCTTTCTTGTACGAAACCATTGTTCGAATACATCGTGTATTATTACGTATATTTTTGTGCCTGTGTGCTGTGTCAGTTCTTTTACCCTGTAGATATAGGACACAGGGTCTGACTGGCAAGGGTTACATTGGTATTAATATAATCGAAATAATCTGAACGACAAACAGTTTAGTACAGACTATAACTGTGGATTTGAATAGCGACGGGAACCTCTCTCTGCAACCTTATATTCTTTCATTATTTATTCAGAATTTAATCATTGCTATTCATTGATAAGCATACGGATCGGGTTTTTGACCATGGGCAAAAAATAGAATTTTAAATCCATCAGTTGAAACTTTGAGCTTTCAAGATACGTTCTTTATTTGTAAAAATTAGAAAATCAAATTGCTACGCTCTAATATTGTTTAGATGTTGAAGCTTTATCCAAAAACAGTCACTAAAAAAAGTTCAAGTTCGTGCTAACACAGTCACTGAAATGTTCAAGTTCGTAAATACAAAGTTCCGTTAGTACAAAATGAATTCGTATGTCTCTAAATCCGGCTCGAAGGACCAACTATAGTAAATAGCCAATTTTAGGTAATATAGATATTCGAAAATGTTTTTATAATAGACAACAAGATCCAAAATCAAATATATTTTCAAATAGGGCTTCCTTTGTTTATTATAAGTCTACAAATTTTGCATTTGAGCAGCTTGGTAAATCTGGCAGATTTTATTATTGTGCTTTTATACACAATAATTAATTCTAGACAAAAATTAACATGTCAAATAGCTGCTTATCAATTTTCATTTGACGTTTATGTAAGTCGTTATCAATACTAAATCTGCAGTACGAGTTATTATAATCCTTCGCGTTAAAACATCGAATGCATATGCAAACGCAGGTGCAGAGATTAATATATAAATTCGTATTAAGCAAATCAGGCGACGCATTGTAAAGTTAATCCTTTGGTCACACATGGAATAGGGTTATATGCAAATGATATGCGAAAAATAATAATCGCATTCGAGCCATTCATTATTGTATTGTTGGTTAACCAACGAAATTTTCTACAGTACTAACTTACGACATAAATTAATTTTAACTACAATTAGGCGGCAATGCCTAATTAATAAATTTTATTCAAAATATTAACACAAATGACCCGTTTCTTTCATCTATTTGACAAAAACCAACACGTTTTAATTATAGTACAGTGTCTCTTCTGATTAATCCAAATTACACCCTGAAACCTCTTATAACTTTCCCTTCAAAAAAGTCTGTCGAAAAACTGAATAAGAAGCGATTTATTCAGATTTTGTTCGTCCCTTGCAGTAGCTATTATATGCAAATGATAATAAAATTTTACTACCGTATGGCAATATTGAAACACATGCACAAACTACATAGAAGTTAACGAATGTAAATCGCTATATCAGTGCATAATTAACATGTTACACCCTTTTCTATTATCTGGCTTAGGTGACAAGTGCATTTGCATTTCTCCTTCAATTTGTAATTGATAAGGGGTAGAAGGATCTACGTTCATTCATTCATTAAAACGGCAGATGTTTTAAACTGTTTAAGGGATAAACGCTCGAAGACATACGTATCTACCTAATATATTTTAATGACAAGAAAGACGCCAAATTTAAAAATTTGTAAAATAAAATAAAAATATAAAAGTGCTTTCGTCTTTTATTTATCTAATTGTTACCCTAAAACTCAAAAATAATTAAACAGATTTTAATACGACTTTTACGTAATATAGGTGTATACTACTATACATTATGTTCGAATGGTCGAGTTCAAGAGTCAGGATAATCAGAATCCAGAATGTTTATTTTACTGGAAAAACAATTCCTAAGCTTTCTTAGTGTTTATGAAGCAAGAATTGTAATTCAAACACACGAAAACAAACGTCAAAGGTTCTGTACAAATAATTTTACTATTATGGTTTTCGTTGTATGAATTATTGTTCGGTGTGGCGTACCATGAATTTTATATTGTAACGTGTGCAAGGGGCCGTTAAACGGCATTTCTAGGTTCTTGCGGTTTAAAACTCGTAATGCCGATAATGGCTGCAATAATAATTTGGCAATAAAAATATAATCGCGCCGATCGTCGGAGAAATCTCTTCCAGGTCTGCGGTTGCAGCAGGAGAATGAAATAAGCACTTACTATACATACAAGTGTAACGGCACGGTCATCTTGAACATGCAAAAAGAAGTTAACAACATAAATAAAAAAAAAGGCAGAAGTAAATTACCCTGCAAGAACGTGAAACAATACAATCCGGCCGCGAACGATTCGACTTAAACAAAGGAGATTGTTCAGTGAAGCGGATTATATAAAAATCATCTTATTGCCATCATCAGGATCGTTTTTATTTTGTTTTTTTCTTTCTCTCTGTTGCGTACCTACGATCTTCTGTTGATGATGATGAAGAAAGATCGTCTGAATGAAACTTCTTGTTGATGTCCAAGATTCGGTCACACTTGCTGTGTGCTGTTCTATTAATTTTGTGAAGCAGTCAATCACCTGTTTCGTTAACGTATTTTCACTTAGGATTCGGCTTTTTTTACTTCAACTGGACCGTCTGTTTCGCACTTTTTTACCAATTTTTATTATAAAACAGCCAACCGGAAAGAATCGACCGTTACTTGTTCGCGAAGCGACAAACACTCTACATGTCCGTTTTTGTCTCTTGTTTTCGAAATCGGAAAACTCAATAATTAATTTAATTTACAATCTGGAAAGTATTTCTAACAGTTTTTTTTGCCCTCCTCTCCAATTTCTAACCTTTTACCATCTAAAGTATTTTTAACATCCTCCGATAACACCACACCTCAAACACCACTAACATCAAAAAGATTTCTTTTTGTTAAAAGCGACCTTTTTATTACATATCTAAATTTGTATGATTCCGTAAATATCATTAATTGGCGCCTTCTTCTAATTATCAAATTAAAAATAATGACAATCTTAAATATAATCCATACATTTATACAAAACTGTATTTATTTACATAAGAAAATTTCTTTACGTAAGTATATGTTCCATTGAAACATTTTACTATTTAAAAAAATTGTATTCAAAACTTACCTTTTCGTTATTTCCTTCAATGATTTAAACGCCATAGATAGTCTTTTGTCTTCATTAAAAACACCATTTCAATTACCACCTAACACAACACAAAACAACACGTCAAGATGTAGCAAAGAACTCAACGAAGATGAATCATTTCAATAATGCAACGACGAATGTTTTTCTTACAAATCGTATGCAAGGTGACCCCCAATATCAAAAAAAAGATAGTGGATTGTACAGGAATCGTTTAAAAAGATACTGAACTTGAAACTGGTCACAATTTATTTTGTACTTTAGCAAAAACTTTTTAAAACAGAACAAACAAAAAGTAAAATGAATATTAACAAAAAAAAATGATATGTGGACTTTGTTAGGTGACTAATATAACATAAAACACTTTACTTTACGTTATTAGCAACAAAATAATTTACATAAAAAAATTACAATTACAAAACAACCTGATGGTTTAAATTTCTCGAACGATCCCTGTAGATTCATTTAAACAAGTTTAGAATATTGATGTATGTACCTATAGAAAGGATAATATTTAAGAAAATCACCGTTTTTATGTTAATGAATAAAGTTTATTTTCAAATTACAGAGTTATACTTAATTTAAAGTCTCCGAAACAAAAATGCACAAAAACAAAAGGATGGCACATAATAAATGCTTTTTTATGGGGGAGATGGAGGCAAGATGTAAACTTTTCAAACACAAACAACATAATAAACATATACAATAGAGGTATTACCTATGTATACACAGAAATGCAAATATGTAGTTTCAATAAAAATCATTTTCTAATAAGTTAATATTTATATTGTTTTCAATATCAGTACGTTTAATTAAAAAGTAAAAGAATAGTAATTATTAATGATATTTATAAATTTCGACAAAAGTCCTACTTCACTCTTCGTTTTTTTTTTAAGTACAACGCATAGTAATGTGTAATTTGCGAAGTAAATAAATAAAAATATTAACACATATGCAATACATTTTTTTCATTATCGAACAACCCTGTTTTTTAACGTATATAAAGTCTCAAAAAAAAAACACCAAAATGCAACTTTCTGATTGATACGATATCAGTAGCGTTTGAAAAGTATTTTAAAATACGTACAACATCAAGTTTGCTTTGCAAAAATAGACAAATTCCTTTTCCATTTACAGTATTTTACCCTATGACACATTTCGATGGTATTAAAAAATATTGGCGATTGATATTACTTTAAGAACTAATAAATGTCAAACGAACCTTACAATTATTTTTAGTTTTAATTTAATTTTGTATGTTACTTATTATATTAACATTGGACGGAATTGACTATACAGTCTATTTTCAAGCGAGTGATTACATTTTGCAACATTACCAATCGTTTTAATTTCTTATTTATATATATCTATATTCAAACCAAGCAAGCGTACTATACCTATCTAAAGTATATATATGTATATACAGGGTGGAGAGCTATATCGAATCTCACTAATTTCACCCTCGAGTTTCTTTGGAAAATTTAAAAATGCAAAACTAAAATCACCCTGCATCTGTACTAGGTAATGTAACAAAATAATAATAATTTTTTTAAATTGCTATTTAATTAGATAAGTGTTTGAAACTATTTTATCATGTACATGACGTGCACACACATACGTAAGAATTGGGTTGTGTTGTTTCTACGAAAATAACAGGTGCCACGGAAAAATGAAAGAAAACGAAATCACGCATCAAATACTCACACAAGTCATAAATACTTTTGCAATAACAATTCTTCTAATAACGAAGTCTGAAAAATATCACACATTTGGGGGAAAAACGCATTAATTCTAATACCTAATTATTATTATTATTGTATTATAAACAACTGTTATAATCCAATGGAGTCAAAATAAAGTTAGTTATTATTCTAATTATTTGTAGAAAAAGGTGTACAAAAATCGTATCGATGTGTGTTTGCTACAGTTAATACTTACCTAACACTAGTAATATTACAACAAACGTTAAAAAAAAAAGAAAAGGGAAATCAGTTTAGTCTAAAACGTCTTGCATCAATGTCTCTATCTCTTTACACTGATTGCCCAGTTTCCCGGGCAACGTTTGTTTCTTTAATAAAACAGGTCTAATATTGACAAGACTGTCGTAGCAATTTATACACTTTTTGTACCGTTCTTCCCTGGATAAATCCACTCCGAAACTCCCCGCCGGTGATTGCATAGTTGACTTAATAATCGATCCAAAATGTCTTAACACTAACTTTAGAGTATTGCACGCCGTTGTCATATACCTGAGCGACAAAAAAATGATTCTCAAAAACAATAAAAAAAAAGAACAAAATACGTATTGTATATGGTATGGTTAAAGTCTTTATTTGGATAGTTCATAAACTAACTGGTTACTAATAGTAACTACGTAAGATATTTATTGGTAAGTTCCCCTGTTTATTATTTTGGTCTGCATAACATTTCCAAAGCACTTTTCAAACTAGCCCAAAATTTTGGATATTGTGCATAGTTTTCTTATAGAACAAACACAACAAGCGCCAAAGTATTTCCAATCTTCATGGTTTTCTTGTAGTTTAGTTTGTACTTTGCCTATAAGTTTTGGCCAGTTTGCAAACTAACCAAAGATTATTTCCTACATTATCCGGCTAGTTCACAAGCTAGTCATATAAATACATAAACCGTTTTTGTATATACGTCACAATTTGTTTAAATCTTTGTATGACCTGTCAACTTTCTCTTGCTCTATAAAACATTGCAAAGTTATTGTGCGAATGCATTTACATACTTAGATACGGTAGTTCAAGGGTAGCCCACCCGGGCAGTTTAGATAGGGTCACTGTTATTTCTCACAATAAACCAAACCCGGTAACGCAAAGGGTTGTCCGTATCAAATTCGAAATATTTATCGTCAAATTACGGACGGAATGCCCAACGCGTGCCCATAACGTCGATGAATACTAAATGAACTAACTGACCATGGTAATATTTATTATTTGTAATTTATGTGCAAAATAAATCAACAATAAATAATGTCCTAGCAGTCAACTTCTTACTGTTACTGTATCATTAGGTAGTACCAACGGTATTGTTTTAGACGATTAATTGTTACGATTATTACAATATTTCAAATTGGTACCATTTTTAGGCACTCTCAGAATTTTATCTATTTTAACCGTTTAAAATCGTTACTATTGTATACTTTTGACTGTCAAATCATTGTCATACGCTATTATTCGTTGTTTGCATATTATTATTTACGCTTATTGAGTATCGCATTATTCAAATGATGAAGAGCTTCTTCATGTCAAGCGTAGTGAAGTGTTTTGATGTGAGCAACCCAACACCGTGCATCAAAGTCTTCTTCTACCCTCCCTCCCCTTACTGCCAGTAGGGGTTACCTATACTTGTAGGTACACGTATGTATGACAGATAAAAAGGGGCCGACGGTACCGTCGCCGACCCTTGGGCCCTTCAAAGCGACAGTAGCAGCTATAGCAGCTGTCAGTCAGCAGAAGGTACCCGTATTTAAGCGTCTTCGATGTCTTTCAGAAGTGTGCTAATTATCCGATAATTCGATAGGAGATTGACACCGAAGGTTCGCTTGCTTATACATACCGAATCGGAAACAGGAAGTTTAAAAAATCTTAGTATTTTTCACGGTTTCTTCTTGTCTTATAAGAGAATGATGAAAATATTCTAGTAAAATGAGAAATGGGATGGTAGAACACCTTCTGAGATATTAAGGGCGAATAGGTCTTTCGGCAAACAGAATCTTTTTAAATCATCATAAGGTCATCAGTCCTAAGACTGGCTGGACACGTACCTCCACTCTTTCCTATCCTGAGCTAAACTTCGTATATCCCTAAAACTAGAACAACCCACATCCTTAACTATTTGCGAACAGTAATTTAATCTAGAAGAAGTGGATTAGATTACTGCTCGTAAATAGTCAAGGATGTGGGACTAGTTTTAAGGAAATGCGAAGATTAACTCAGGATAGAAAAGATCAGAGGTGCGTGTCTAACCAGTCTTAGGACTGACGACCTTATGATGATGATGAAAGATTGAACGAACATCCTTTCTCAGGGACCCTAAAAGCGATGGTGGCCGTTGGCTAGTGCCTATTTTGCCATCTCCTTCGAATAAGATTATGTTACTAATTCAGAATCTCCCGCTGAAGTTCCTCGTCAGGGGGTTCAATAAAAGAAAAGAAAAAAATAACGTAACATTTTTTCTTCGCTCTTCTTTCTTTTTTTTCGGGTTCTCAATTTTGTATATGTAATATGAATTGAGAAAAGACCTGGGGATCGTCACCCTCCCACGATTATACGGTTCGCCGCCCGAGGAGGGCAATTATACGCATAGTGACTGGCCGGGACCNTTTAAATAACAATTATAAGAAAATTGTCTGAATTGTCTTTTTATGGTAATGGTGAAAATGTATCTGTTGAAGACTTTGTGACTTTCAATATTCTTCTTTAAATTACATTTGAATTAAAAGTAGTTTCTTCCATTGAGTTTTATGATAAGTTCTTTTTATTGTTAGGTAGTTACGTTACATGTACACTACCGTACGTTACGTTATTTTATACAATTTCCTAGTCAGGGGGCTTCAATAAAAGAAAAGAAAAAAATAACGTAACATTTTTTCTTCGCTCTTCTTTCTTTTTTTTTTTCGGGTTCTCAATTTTGTATATGTAATACGAATTGAGAAAAGACCTGGGGATCGTCACCCTCCCACGATTATACGGTTCGCCGCCCGAGGAGGGCAATTATACGCATAGTGACTGGCCGGGACCGTTGTCGTCTACTTGTTTGCCTTTACCGACCTAGCAATAATAAGAAGGTGTACCGTAACGAATACAAGGACGATCGAACCCGGTTTACATGGTTTATACCACCTTCATTCACGAGGACTTATTGGCTTACGTCCAACTTGTTTAGACGTTTAGAATAGACTCACGATCAATCAATAAAATTTAATATTGGTGGTAATATCAATAATACTCAACAATAAATAGATGTTTGTTAAAATAATTCTTAACAATAAATAAATCGTCCGTAATTAGGTACTTTACTTCAACAGTAACTGAAGTATGTATTGGAAAGAGTGCTTTTCACAATGCTTGCTCTAATTATAATTATAAGGGTTCAAAAACAGAAAAAAAAGGGAACCAGATACCTATATGTATAGTTTCGTAATTAACGAAGACAACAGGGTGGGACTGTTGTTTTACGTTGTATCAATTTACTTGTCAGAAAAGCGTCAGCTGTGCGACTGAAGTCAAAAAATTTACCGGAAAACAATCATTTATACACTAACAAACCGGAAATCGATAATTATCAAAGAAACACAATATGTTAAAAACAATTTAAAACTTTTAAACATACTAGTAACTAGTGAGCTACACATGCAGAACAAAAAAATCAAAGTACTTTAATGTTTCATTAACATATTTCGATCTACCTTAAATATAAAAATGTTTTAGTTATTATGTCTTGGACCTGCGAACAATTACTTAATTTACCTCTACGGGGTACATTTTTGTAACCCTTTCTGATGAATAAATTCAATTTTAAACTTTATTTTAATAAAAAAATTAATAGGTACCCTAAACTTTGGTTCAAACATAAAAATTTATAGAAATTAAAGTTGAAAGTGTAGCACAATCGGCTTTTAGTCGGGAATAAATTGATATATATTACGTTTTTACGATATCTTAAAATACAAAAGGTATTATGCCCCTATAATGAATTTTAAACAGATACTTTACATAAAATTATATTTGAAATTTTGATAAAACATAAAAAATGCGTTCATGATATGGACTAATGTTTAAAGACGTTGTGGTGCCATCTGTATTACAAATTAAAGAAGCAGACGAATTAGAAAACACAACAGTCTTATTGTGCCATCTATCTGCTTGTAATAAAATTAAGAGCTAAATTTTTAAATAAAAAATTTTAATTAAAAATTTAG